TTTTTTTTTTATGAGGGATGTTTGTGCTGTTGAGGTATTGTTCTTTAGGTGAAAAAATGAGAAATGTGGAGAGTGAGTTTAGTTTCAGGTTTCTGGGCATATTGGGTAAGGTTTAGATTAGATAGTTATGCTTTGGCCTTTGTGTATTTTGTGTTAAGGAACTTTGAATGTGTAGTTTGAGGAAAGGGTTTTGATAATCAAGTTCAATTGGAGTGTATAAATATTTAAATTATAAATATTATATTTTTACTTATAGTTTTTTAAAATATGATAATCTATATATATATATGTAGGGTTGGGTTCACATGAGAATGATTCTCAGTGAAAGAAATAAGAACACATCTTAGCCATCAGATTTAGTGATCCAACGGATAAATAAAATTCAGCATTTATGCACTCATTAAGGGTATTTTAGACTTTTAATTATCCACCCATCGGACCCACTAAAATACCTACTAACCAACATCCACTAATATTCTGCCAAGTGTCCCATCTATTTTATCACATCCCAACTCTTCAACAACCACACCGACACCCCGCACGACCCCACCTACACAACCTCCCCACCCATCCTCTCTCTCACACACACAACACACACCACAACACAGATCGCCATCTCCATCGTCTCCCGCTTACCGCCACCTTCAGGCCACCCATCCCCGCAGTCCCCCGCCTCCCGCCACCTTCAGGCCGCACATCTCCGCCGTCTTCCGCCTCCCGTCACATTCAGATCACTCGTCTCCGCCCCTAACACACACACACACACACCTTAACACACAGACACACACCTTGATCGGCACTCTCACTTCCGGCCTCCCCACGCAAAGACGCTGCAACAACCGATATGCTCGTAGCCGCCGTGGAAGACAACGTCGTCACGGCTTCACACACATCCCCCACCGTCAGTCCGCCACCGCCCGTCCGCCGCTGCCACCGCTCTTCCGCCCACTCTCTCCAGACACCGCCGGCCCCGTTCCTGAAAATTCAGGTGAACGTCCGTCGGATGATGTCCAGTTCCGATCACCTCGAACGCGACTCCCTAGCTGGTGCTCACGGCGAGCTCATCGTTCTCGTCGAAAATTGGTCAACTTGGGGGGTGAGAATTTAATTAAATTTAACACTATTGTAAAATGATTCTAGGTCGGATCATTTGTGGGGCACTGGAGTGAGCTTTTGGAATAATTTTTTTTCTAAATTTTTGAATTAAGATGTGGATCTTTCTTAGTTGCTTGATGTGTTTCTTCTTGATGGATGATTAAGCTTTTATTTATTGGCTTTTAATTCCTGTGTATTTGGTTAAAATTCAGATGGACAGTAGCTCTGATGTTATTTTTTTTTTATTTTTTATATATTTTACCCTTTTAATTTGTGTAATTTTTTGACTCTTTCTTCTGGGTTCTGGCTGTTGGTATCGGATAGTGTTTGTTTAATTTGGCCATTATCATGTGAAAAAAAAAATCATTAATTATAAAATAATTTAATAAATATACAAGAATGATGAACAAAAATGTACAAATGCACAACATTTCTATTCGATACTCACAAATGCACAAACACACAAAAAAGTGACATTACTAAATAATAATAAATAATAATAATAATAATAATAATAATAATAATAATAATAATAATAATAACAATAATAATAATAATAAATAGTAAATCATTTCATTTGTTAATATTAATTGTACAATTTTATCTAATAAATATAATTTCTAAAAAAATATATAATTTATACGTGATCGTACACTTTTATAGATCAACACGATGCACTTTATAAAATAAATCGTTGCGTTGTATAAAACAAACCGTTGCACTTTATTATAACTTTTTTTAGTATATTATAAAATTATAAAATATATTAAATAAAAAAACTAAGTGAAATATTATTTTTTTATATATTTCATATTATAAAATATAAATATTATATTAATAAATAATAAATTATACCTTTACAATAATAAATAATTTATAAAAATATTATAATAATGAGTAATAATTTATAATTTTCATAATAATAAATAACAATTTATTTTTATAATATAATTATTAATATAATAAATATATTTTTTATCATGTAAATAATAAATTATTTCAGTTTAGGTTGATTAAATGTACAATTATAATTAATAAATCTAGTTTTGAAAATCACATAATTTATATGTGATCATATAAAGTAGTGCACTTTATATATCAACACGATGCACTTTCTAAAACAATAAGTTGCACTTTATAAAATGACATGTTGCGTGAATATTTTAATATTATGTATATTTTATATAAATAAAAATATTAAATATATTAAATATATTATTATAATATAAATAATAAATCATTTCAATTATTTAGGTTATTTGATCAACCGACCCAAAAAATGCAATTATTTTAATTTGTTTTAATTTGAATTTGCACATAAAAAACCCACACTATATAGAATGCACGATATTATACAAAAATGTTGCACATTAGTGACAGTCGGACTGCCCCATGTTGTCAGACTAAATGCACGTTAATGCGTTCGAGAATGCACATCAACATAACAATGTCTATTTTCACAAATATTAAATGTTGGTTATTTCGGTCCAATTTTGGCTTTAATTATATGTATATAAAAAACAAAAATATCATAACCGATCGAACTATACAAAAAAAAATATATATTTTAATTAACCATGTATATTATTTTTGTTCAACTAAGAATAATATAAAGTACTAAATACCAAATTATAAATACTAGATATATTCTATAAAAATAAAAATAAAAAAAAAAGTTGCACTCCGAGTGCACATTAATGTTATACAGGTTGCACTTTAGTGACTTTTAGATTGCACTATAGTGACCGAAATAAGTTTTTGGGATCCAACTTTACATGTCCGTTGGATTATATGTTTTTACCTTTCAAATTTTAGTTTTTCGGTTCGATGTCAGCATTTTTAAAATATCCGAAATAATCGGACCAAACAAACTATACAAAAAATATTATATATTGCTTTATTTAATAACAATATTTTTTTTCAACCAAAAAACAAATATAAAATGTTAGATAAAAATATTAGACTACGAATTAAGATTTTATAATATAAATAATAGTTTAATTTAATTATTTTAGGTAATTCGATCAAGGGTCAAATAAACGAATTAATTTAGTTCGGATTAAATTTGTTTGGGACAAAAGTTCGAAAAGTTCACACTGCACAATAGCGACCCAAAATCGTGCACAATGATGTTAGACACATTGCACATTAATGTATGTTAGGCTGCACATTATAGTGGACATCTTATTTACTATTGAATGTATTAAATTTTTAATAAATTCCAAATTTGCCTCAAGTACCCAATTACAATATATTAAAATTATTGAAATTGCATAAAGGTCCAAAATCTTGTCAAATTTCTAATTGGCAGTCCCTGGTCCAAATAAAACTATCCAGCCCCAACCGGTCACCGGCAAGGCCGTTTCCGTCCGCCACCGTGTCGTCGGTCCCCGTCGCCATTGCAACAGCCGCGCCGTCATGTCGCCACTCGAGCATTAACTCTCGATTTTTCTTCCTACGCCACAACATTTCAGAGTTTTCATGGAAATATCTAGATCCCGGCGACGATCTCAGTCAGTGGAGTCCCGACGGCCATGGAGGACGACGGTGAACTGGACGACGACGGATATGGTCGGACTTCTGGACACAGTGGTCGTCGGCGGCTGAGATGGGCTGGGCTCGGTGGACGCTGTGCTGTGGACGGCGGACTTCTGGAGAGAGGGTAAGTCTGCGACAGCTGGCAGTGGGGCGACGACGGCCGGCGGAGATGGTTGCAGAGTATTCCTGGCATGTGTGTGTTTATGTGTGTGTATGTGTGTGAACTGTGTGTGTTCGTGAATAAAGCCAGATCTTGTGCGTGTATTTGTGTCGGACGACGGCGAATGGCGGGGGTGGCGGGGGGTGGCGACGGGTGGCGTCGGACGGCGGCGAAAGGCAGTAGGTGGCGGCAGGCTTCTTTTCCGGTGGTAGGAACTCAAACGACGAGCCAGAGTTTCAGATCTGATGCGAAGAGAGAGAAGGTGAGGTTAATTATGGTGGAGATGGTGGGGCCCATCTAGTGAATGAGTTGTAATATTTTGTGTATTGTCTATTTTATCCTTACTAATTGGGCAAATATGTACATTTGACCACAATATGTATGTTAAATTACCATGTTGCCATTAATGATTGACTAGAGTTTGACTTAATTCTATCCATTGATGTGATATATCCAACTATCCAGATTTATTCTTATTTCTTTCACTATCTATCATTCTCATATGATCCCTTCTCTATAT